GAGAAAAGCATACGGGCGAGGCAGGAGGAGAGCATGGGCGAGGCAGAGAAAGCATACGGGCGAGGCAGAGAAACGGCATAGGGCGGAGGCAGCAGAGTAAACGAGCATGCACGGGGAGGCAGACGGGCAGAGAAGGCAGGCAATACGGGGCGAGGAGAACAGCATACGGGCGAGGCAGAGAACAGCATACGGGCGAGACAGAGAACAGCATACGGGTTAGATGCACCAGACCGACAGCCACAGTGGAGCTCTTTGTGTCTGTGTTGGTCTACTTTGTGGCACGTCACAAATGACACCCTATTTCCTATATAATGTACTACTTTTGACCAGGGTCCACTGGCAAGGCCGTGTGTGTGTGTGACTCTGACTCTGAGAGAGAGAGAGAGAGAGGGAGAGGAGGGAGAGAAGGAAGGAGGGAGGGAGGATTTGGCCAGCTGTCAGCCACTGTGGGATGGCTAGGGCGCCTCAAGCTTCTCCCAGACTGACCGACAGTAACCCTCTGGTCCTCTGGCTGTACAGTAATAGCCTTTGGGTATCACAACACAACACACACACACACACACACACACACACACACACACACACACACACACAGCTCTCGCCTCTGGATTAATTCTTCCTCTAGTGAAACAGTAATTTGTGTATTTGGAAATTCGGTTACTCTGTGAAATGGTCTTTTGACCTCTCTTCCCCCAGAGGAGGAAATATACTGATGATAATGTCTTCATTAGATTTCCTAATCAAAGTGTAATTTACTGGTAACCATCACATGAATCATTCCAGCCTGCAATTATTTCTTAGAGAACTAAAGCATTTACATGAGCTAGGGTTACAGTCTGTGTCCGATCTGCCTGTCTGCTCAGTTCGGCTGTATTTCAGGTCTGGAGAGCTTTCTCCCAAACAGAATGACCCCCAAACAGCATGCTGAAAGATAAACGTTGAAAGATTCTTAAATCCCCAGGGCTGTGAGTTTCACTTCTTGTTGGCTGTGAAAGTTTTACACAGGAAAATAAATGTCCATATTTCTCTCTCTCTCTCTCTCTCTCTCTCTCTCTCTCTCTCTCTCTCTCTCGTTATTATTACCCATGGCCCTCTGTGAGATGATGAACGCATCGTCTTTATCTGGAACACATCTCTGCCACCTGCAGAAGAGAACAATTCCAGTGGGTGTGATAGGAGGCTCTGTTTTAATGTCCTTCATGTATGTTTGCACGTGTCATATGTACAGTAGATCTGTATGTGTGTGTGTGGACGGATGATAGGCGTATCATCGGAATAGATGAGAAAGAAAGAGAAGAAGCTTGGATTGGAGGGTGTTTAGCTTTTAGCCTGGGAGGCAGGAGGTGTCTGATTTATAGTCCATTATTCAGGAGGAAATGAGCGTCATAGGCCAGTGACTAATAAACGTCGAGCCGCCCCGCTGTACGCCCACATCAAAGAGACTAGGGAGCTCCGCTGGACCCCCTCTCCGTCAACATATACCCTCTCCAGCTCTGGTTCTTTCCGTCAACATATACCCTCTCCAGCTCTGGTTCTTTCCGTCAACATATACCCTCTCCAGCTCTGGTTCTGTCTGTCAGCATATACCCTCTCCATCTCTGGTTGTTGGCTTGAACCACGCTCACGTTAGCTCCACGAACGAATGCCTATGCTTTAGCTCAATGGGTTCACAGTGTTGTGGGGCTCAGCAGACTGGGGTTTGGTCTTCTGAAGGGACGGGTTGTCAGTGTGCTTAGTTGATTGGTATCGTTTGATGCTTTCATTAATGGATGCTGGCCCCTATTAAAGCAAAGCCTTCATTCAAGAACACTGTCAGTCAACGCCACGGTGCATTATTATAATGGCGACAATGTATGTTAGAATGTAGCCTATGTAGTATCAATGCCACTTTGATCACAGCACCGTTCAGCAATCAAACTTACTTTTTTTTCTCAGGGTTCTGTTGGGAGGTACTGTGTGTGTGTGTGCGTGTGTGTGTGTGTGTGTGTGTGTGTGTTGAGTACAGCGGGCGGATTAATAGATGCATCCGTAGCGTTGGTGAATTCACACCAATTAAAAGAGACAAATGGGTATGTTTTCATTCAGCGTGTCTTATCTGTCACCGACACGGCAACTGTTAAATCAACAGAGAAGAAAGAGGCAGCAGAATCATGTTGACGAGTTGACCAATATATCAGGCTGTTTCTTAGGGAATGGGAGGGAGGCATGCCCAGTGAATTGCACCATATTCCCTACGTAGTGCCATATTCCCTACATAGTGTCATATTCCCTACATAGTGTCATATTCCCTACATAGTGCCATATTACCTACATAGTGTCATATTCCCTACATAGTGCCATATTCCCTACATAGTGTCATATTACCTACATAGTGCCATATTCCCTACGTAGTGCCATATTCCCTACGTAGTGCCATATTCCCTACGTAGTGCCATATTACCTACATAGTGTCATATTCCCTACATAGTGTCATATTACCTACATAGTGTCATATTACCTACATAGTGTCATATTACCTACATAGTGTCATATTCCCTACATAGTGCCATATTACCTACATAGTGTCATATTACCTACATAGTGTCATATTACCTACATAGTGTCATATTACCTACATAGTGTCATATTCTCTACGTAGTGCCATATTACCTACGTAGTGCCATATTACCTACGTAGTGTCATATTACCTACGTAGTGCCATATTACCTACATAGTGCCATATTACCTACATAGTGCCATATTACCTACATAGTGTCATATTACCTACATGGTGTCATATTCTCTACGTAGTGCCATATTCCCTACGTAGTGCCATATTACCTACATAGTGCCATATTACCTACGTAGTGCCATATTACCTACGTAGTGTCATATTACCTACGTAGTGCCATATTACCTACATAGTGCCATATTACCTACATAGTGTCCATATTCTCTACGTAGTGCCATATTCCCTATGTAGTGCCATATTCCCTACATAGTGTCATATTCTCTACGTAGTGCCATATTCCCTACGTAGTGCCATATTCCCTACGTAGTGCCAATAGTGCCATATTACCTACATAGTGCCATATTACCAATGTAGGCATTTTTACATTTAGTAATTTAGCAGACGCTCTTATCCAGAGCGACTTACAGTAGTGAGTGCATACATTTTCAAATGTTTGTACTAGTCCCCCTTGGGAATCGAACCAACAAACCCTGGCATTGCAAGCGCCATGCTCTATCAACTGAGCCACACGGGACCAGAGTGCTTTGGGCCAGAGCCGTATATGATGCCATTTTGGACACAGCCACATTCTCTGTTTGTTGTTGTTGTTGTGTTTTCATGCCCAGTAATATTCTCTGTTTGTTGTTGTTGTTGTTGTTGTTTTAACAGGAAGTCAGAGGAGGAAGTGGACATGGAGAAGGTGACAGCTGCCATGGTTCTGACCAGCCTGTCCACCAGTCCTCTGGTCAGGAGCCCCCCCGTCAAAGTCAGTGGTGAGTCAACCAAACATGTTTTGATTTATTTATCCTCTTTTTATACAGGTGATCACACTGACATTAACAATCTCTGTTACAAGGTAGTTTTGTCCCAAGAAGGCAACAATCCAACGTTTGATAGAGCAAACAATTGCTGAGAGGTGGTCATGATAGCTAGCTTCTGAACGTGTTGTATAGTCCTTTTGCACAACGTAGGAACGCCCACTTCCCCTCAACTTCCTACCTGATACATAGCTTCCTCTCCCGATCGCGTCCTGTCAGCCTGATTGTAGCCATACTAGCCTCGAAGTCGCTCGTTTTATCATTACCTCAGTATATTAATATAGTCATATTTCAATAGTGTTTTTTTTTGTCATTCTTGTTGAAAATTGTGTTTATCCGTTCAGTTAGTGATTTCTTTAATTCGATTATTGTGTTCTGTGTCTTTTTTTTTGTCTCTTTAGCTAGCAAACGTTAGCTACCAGTACCTAGCTAACGTTAGTGTTAACGGTATTAGTTGGTGCGGCATCTTTATTGAAAGTTAGGAAATGAAGAAGAGCACCTTGAAAGGCCTGCTTGGGATGGCCCCACATGGATAAGTTACTTTTGTGGCTGCATCAGTGACAAAGAGCTATTCAAACAATCAGGACTGTTTGGCTTGCTCACTGAAGACATGGCACTGATGGCTGTCAAGGGGTTCCTGATTGATGACTGTGTGCCAGGCAAGGTCTACCGTCCACCCGTTCTGTCTAAACAGAGCCAAATGCCAGCAGCACAGGTCCATCAAACGCAAGAGGTTGCCCATCTTAGAGTCCACATTGAGAGATTAATTGGCAGAATTAAACTGAACAAGCTGTTTTCAGTCAGAGGTCCCCATGTCACTGATGGGAAGCATCAACTGCACCTGGGCTGTGGCTTGCCTTCTCACCAACGACCAGTGTGGGCCTCTTGTGAAGGCATGGGCCAAGGAGCAATGAGCTACTGCTGCAATGCATCTTTCCTTTTTTTTTTGCTGTGACCCTCTACATTGTCTAACACCCTGTAGTCCATTTATTGATAATAAACACCACTGCTTATACTCCAAACACAAAATGTTGCAAATAGTTTTTATTTACCGTGACAAGAGAACAGAAAACATTTAACTGAATTATTTTAAATTATTAATTAATTAATTAATGAATGGCACAGACAGATTTGTTGGTTTGTTTCTCTTTCATTAATTGAAAGATAAAGGAGCCTGTCAGTAGTTATTTAATCTTTCCTGCCTAAGAACTTTTGCATGTACACATATAAGTAGTACCAGTCACCCTTCTCTCTAATTAGTGAGACCACCACTGGGTCTCTATGTATTCTCTCGACCAGAATGTCCTCATGCGCACAGACAACCAAGTCACACCACTCCAACCCAGTGATGTAGAGCTGACCTTGAACTTGCCAGCAGTAGGAATGCTGCCTCTTCAGGGAAGGTTCACCGTTATGCATGTGAACGGACTTGCAATCCACAAAACCCTTTACGTTCGGGTTCTTAATCTCAACTAGGCCAAAAGGTGGATACTCGAGAGGGTCGTAGACCAGGCCATCAGGAGAAGAGGCAAGCCAAGGGAGACGTCAGGATGTATGATGAGGCCACAGGGTGAGAAGTTGACATTCTGCATCTTGCAGTAGTCACTGGCTGCTTCCATCTCCAACTCCAGTCCCCTCTTCATGTCAGCTGTTGTTGCTATGCTTTTGATGATCCTTTCAGCTAGTTGCCTGCGGATGTCAGCCCTCTCACATGGCAAGCCTCTCGGAACCGTGACGAGGTCAGTTTTGGTTTCTGGAGTACCTGCCAGTCGGAAACAGCACTGTGTTCTCTAGTAGCTTCCTCTATTTTATGGGCTGTTGCGATGCTCACCTGAAGACTCTCTGTGAAGCTGGTCTTCTTCACTGAGCACAAATGTGCAGCATTGAAAGTTGCTCTCCAGTCTGTAGCCATCCAGGGGCAGTGAAGGGAATGGTGGTGTCTCCTTATGGTGAACTATGTGTCGCGTTGTGATTGGAGGCTGCTGGTAAGACAGAAGGCTCCCCACCTGTACCTTTCCAAAGTGCGAGTCGACTAAAAGCTTTTCAGCAGACATCCCAATGCTGCAGATCAATGGCTTGGATAGAGGGTCAAAGTTCTTGTATGCCTCTTCTATCTGGAGAACTGAGAGGTCAGGGAGCGGCCCGAGAAGGGCGCTGTAGAGTGTACTTCTGCAAAGCAAAGCAGCCGCTGTGGTTAGCCAATCTAAACAATGTACTTGAAACCACCTGAAATGTTTTATAGTCAAAGTGTAATAGGACATGACCAGCCACTACCTACTATACTGGCTAATAGGGAATACTCACCTCATCCCTCCTTCTGCCATGCGTTTCTTGGTGGGTTTGGTGATGGTCATTTTGCCTAATGGCCCAGGTTTCAGACCCTGTAAAAAGAGTACAAGAGCACTGTTCTAAATCTAATAATGAGACAATTTTAAGTTTTCATTAAATCATTTCTTAGCATTATGATGTGATTACAACCATATGATGTTGATATGTGGTATAGCTATTAAAACATACCATAGTCCTTGGCTTATGCCACTGCTGCTCAGCCTCTGTGCAGCTGTGCACAGGTGGGACGACTGGTGTTCCCATCTGGGAATAGTGTGCAGACTGGAATAGTAATGCGACTGTGTGGATGCGTAATGCAGTGCCAGCAACACATGAACAGTGATGTTGTGTCATTGTTATTGGCTCAGAGGGCTTCAGTACAACCTACGTGGGGATATAAAAAGAACATGATTAGACTATAAAATCACTCAACATGTGTCACGACCAGCAAACAGAAGTGACTGGCTCAACATGCAACAGCCACTAAATTCATTACAGCAATACGGGTTTAAACTTTTCTAATAAGGGTATATGGCCTTGTTTAAATGTAATCCAATGCGTCCAACATAACAGAGCTTACAGCAAGGAAGACGACTGAACAATTACTACAATAAGAACGGTTTCATACATGGATTAAGCCTAGTCCTAGACTAAGCGATGCCTCTTAATGCAGATCTCCATTGACAGGAACTTCTTAGTCTAAGACTAGGCTTCATCTCTGACTGTGTAACCGGCTTGTAGTGTGTCACAAACAACTGACTTTTCACCCTACACTCATACTGTGTGGTTTCTCATTTGTCCTCATGGACCTGTAGCAGCAAGCCCTTATGCTGACCTCTCCTCTCACTTTGTCCCTGTTCGAAACGGTTTTGAATAAAAAGAATGAGCAATCATAATGTTAGCTAGCTACTGTAAAAGGCATGTCTTAAACTACGTTACAGCTTTGAGTAAACGTCCTTGTCTGGTCTGATAGGCAACTTGGCTAAACATACAGAAAGACTAATGTGAAGGTGAAATTAGGAGGAACTTCTGGATGCAATTAAAAACTCCAGGGTTGGATGGCATACCAGTCGAGGTATACCAAACCTTTTTTGATATACTCAGAGGACCGTTATTAGCATGTTTTAACCACTCCTATGTAAATGGTAGATTATCAGACACTCAAGAAGGTCTGATTTCATTATTACTGAAACAGGATACAAGTGGGAAATATAAACATCCAGTCCATTTAAAAAATTGGAGGCCCCTTACAATTCACTGTTGTGATGCAAAAATTCTAGCAAAATGTATAGCGCATAGAATTAAAAAGGTATTGTCGGACATTATTCATTCTAATCAGACAGGTTTTTTTACATGGACGATACATTGGAGATAATACTGTATAAGGCAAGTACTGGAAACAATAGAACACTATGAAAAATCTGGGAAACCAGGCCGGCTATTCATAGCAGACTTTGAAAAGGCATTTGATAAAGTACGACTGGAGCCTTTCAATTTTGGAGAATCTCTTTATAAAATGGGTTAAAATCATGTATGGTAACCCTAGGTGTAAAATAGTAAATAATGGCAATTTCTCAAAGTTTTAAACTGTCAAGAGGAGTAAAACAAGGTTGTCCACTATCGGCATATGTATTTGTTATGGCCATCGAAATGTTAGCTATTAAAATCAGATCCAACAATAATATCAAGGGATTAGAAATCCAGGGCTTAAAAACAAAGGTGTCATTGTTCGCTGATGATTCATGTTTTCTTTTAAATCCACAACTTGAATCCCTCCATAGCCTCATAGAGGATCTAGATACATTTTCTAACCGCTCTGGATTACAACCAAATTATAATAAATGTACTATATTACGTATTGGATCACTTAAAAAGTACAATTTTTACATTACCATGTAGTTTACCAATAAAATGGTCTGATGGTGATGTGGATATACTCGGAATACATATCCCAAATGAAATAAATGATCTCACTCTAATAAATTGTTATAGAAAGTTAGCAAGAATAGATAGGTATTTACCTTTCCATGGTAGCAAGATCCTGTATATTTGTGGAAAAATCACCCTGATTAACTCTTTAGTATTATCCCAGCTTACCTATTTGCCTAGTGAACAGTTTTTTAAAAGTTATATAAGAAAAAAATATTCCATTTTATTTGGAATAGCAAGCCAGACAAATTTAAACAGGCCTATATAATGAATATGAATTCGGAGGACAGAAATTATTAAATATTAAAGCATTAGACCTATCAGTAAAAGCTTCAGTCATACAAAAGTTATACTTAAATCCAAACTGGTTCTCTAGCAAATTAGTAAGATTGTCTCATCCCATGTTCAAGAATGGCCTTTTTCCCTTTATTCAGATTACAACCTCTCACTTTCAGTTATTTGAAAAGGAAATAATCTCCCAAATATCACTATTTCTAAAACAAGCCATAGAAAGTTGGTTGCAATTTAAATTTAATCCTCCAGAAACGACAGAACAAATAAAGGTATAATCTTCGTAAATGATATCATAGGTAGGACTGGTGGAGTTATGTCGCAAAACATATGGAAATGTCTGCTCTACCCAAAATTACAACCAAATAATTGTAGCATTACAACAAAAATGGAAGAGGAAAGTGGAAGGGGGAAAAGTAAGGAACTTGTCTGTCGGCCTTGCATTAAAGAACATAATTGGTTAAAGAAAATTGTGATAAATAAAAAAGTATACCAGTTTAATTTAAGGACCAAAGGAGTGACAGCCGTCCCATATAGATTGCAAAATAGTTGGGAAGAGATTTTTGACGTACCGATTCCATGGCATAGTGTTTATGAACTGATACGCAAAACGACGCCGGATTCAAAACATTATACAAAATTCTTGCTACCGATAGAATGTTATTTATATGGGGGATACAATCTTCCCAGCTCTGCAGATTTGGCTGTGAAGAGACAGAATCATTAGATCATTTGTTTTGGTACTTTCCATTTGTAGCTTGGTTCTGGACACAGGTCCAGGAATGGCTGAAGGATTGCAATATTTACCTGGAGCTAACCCTGCAGATAGCACTACTGGGTGATCTGAAAAGTCATAGTCAATCGATCAATAATATAATAATACTTTTAGCAAAAATGTTTATTTTCAATTTACAATCTGTAGAAACAATGAGAATAGAAGGGTTCAGAACTTTTGTGAAACATCACAGTGCAGTTGAAAAATATATGGCAAATAGAAATCAAATATGGATGGTGTTAAGAGATAGATGGGAGGTGTTGAATGGAGCTGAAGGATGGGACTAATAACAGCAACTAATAACAACAAGATACAGTGGGGGAAAAAAGTATTTAGTCAGCCACCAATTGTGCAAGTTCTCCCACTTAAAAAGATGAGAGAGGCCTGTCATTTTCATCATAGGTACACGTCAACTATGACAGACAAATTGAGATTTTTTTTCTCCAGAAAATCACATTGTAGGATTTTTAATGAATTTATTTGCAAATTATGGTGGAAAATAAGTATTTGGTCACCTACAAATAAGCAAGGTTTCTGGCTCTCACAGACCTGTAACTTCTTCTTTAAGAGGCTCCTCTGTCCTCCACTCGTTACCTGTATTAATGGCACCTGTTTGAACTTGTTATCAGTATAAAAGACACCTGTCCACAACCTCAAACAGTCACACTCCAAACTCCACTATGGCCAAGACCAAAGAGCTGTCAAAGGACACCAGAAACAAAATTGTAGACCTGCACCAGGCTGGGAAGACTGAATCTGCAATAGGTAAGCAGCTTGGTTTGAAGAAATCAACTGTGGGAGCAATTATTAGGAAATGGAAGACATACAAGACCACTGATAATCTCCCTCGATCTGGGGCTCCACGCAAGATCTCACCCCGTGGGGTCAAAATGATCACAAGAACGGTGAGCAAAAATCCCAGAACCACACGGGGGGGACCTAGTGAATGACCTGCAGAGAGCTGGGACCAAAGTAACAAAGCCTACCATCAGTAACACACTACGCCGCCAGGGACTCAAATCCTGCAGTGCCAGACGTGTCCCCCTGCTTAAGCCAGTACATGTCCAGGCCCGTCTGAAGTTTGCTAGAGTGCATTTGGATGATCCAGAAGAGGATTGGGAGAATGTCATATGGTCAGATGAAACCAAAATAGAACTTTTTGGTAAAAACTCAACTCGTCGTATCTGGAGGACAAAGAATGCTGAGTTGCATCCAAAGAACACCATACCTACTGTGAAGCATGGGGGTGGAAACACCATGCTTTGGGGCTGTTTTTCTGCAAAGGGACCAGGACGACTGATCCGTGTAAAGGAAAGAATGAATGGGGCCATGTATCATGAGATTTTGAGTGAAAACCTCCTTCCATCAGCAAGGGCATTGAAGATGAAACGTGGCTGGGTCTTTCAGCATGACAATGATCCCAAACACACCGCCCGGGCAACGAAGGAGTGGCTTCGTAAGAAGCATTTCAAGGTCCTGGAGTGGCCTAGCCAGTCTCCAGATCTCAACCCCATAGAAAATCTTTGGAGGGAGTTGAAAGTCCGTGTTGCCCAGCGACAGCCCCAAAACATCACTGCTCTAGAGGAGATCTGCATGGAGGAATGGGCCAAAATACCAGCAACAGTGTGTGAAAACCTTGTGAAGACTTACAGAAAACGTTTGACCTGTGTCATTGCCAACAAAGGGTATATAACAAAGTATTGAGAAACTTTTGTTATTGACCAAATACTTATTTTCCACCATAATTTGCAAATAAATTCATTAAAAATCCTACAATGTGATTTTCTGGAATTTCTTTTCTCATTTTGTCTGTCATAGTTGACGTGTACATATGATGAAAATTACAGGCCTCTCTCATCTTTTTAAGTGGGAGAACTTGCACAATTGGTGGCTGACTAAATACTTTTTTCCCCCACTGTAACTAATGTAAAGCATACTGTGTCCATAATAAGTATATAGGTTATAGGTTGAGAGCTTTTGTGAAGGAGCACAGTTAGAAAGATATGGCTTATAGAATCAAACCGGATGGACATCATGGGAATGATCAGAGAGGTTGGGGTAGAGGAAGTTCAGGAGTAAAAACAATCTAAATATAATTATTGTAAAATTGACTTTGTCCATAAAATGTATATATTATGTATAACTGGAAGTAGAGGCCTAAGCGTTGTTGTTCACTAGTTTACTCCAATTAGGGAAGGGGTCGTGGGGTTGGAAAGTAATAAAGGGAAATATATTTTTTTAAAGGATATGTATTTATGTGTATGTATATGTGTGTATATATATGTATATATATGTATGTGTATATATATATATATATATACTGCTCAAAAAAATAAAGGGAACACTAAAATAACACACCCTAGATCTGAATGAATGAAATAATCTTATTAAATACTTTTTTCTTTACATAGTTGAATGTGCTGACAACAAAATCACACAAAAATTATTAATGGAAATTAAATGTATCAACCCATGGAGGTCTGGATTTGGAGTCACCCTCAAAATTAAAGTAGAAAACCACACTACAGGCTGATCCAACTTTGATGTAATGTCCTTAAAACAAGTCAAAATGAGGCTCAGTTGTGTGTGTGTGTGGCCTCCACGTGCCTGTATGACCTCCCTACAACGCCTGGGCATGCTCCTGATGAGGTGGCGGATGGTCTCCTGAGGGATCTCCTCCCAGACTTGGACTAAAGCATCCGCCAACTCCTGGACAGTCTGTGGTGCAACGTGGCATTGGTGGATGGAGCGAGACATGATGTCCCAGATGTGCTCAATTGGATTCAGGTCTGGGGAACGGGCGGGCCAGTCCATAGCATCAATGCCTTCCTCTTGCAGGAACTGCTGACACACTCCAGCCACATGAGGTCTAGCATTGTCTTGCATTAGGAGGAACCCAGGGCCAACCACACCAGCATATGGTCTCACAAGGGGTCTGAGGATCTCATCTCGGTACCTAATGGCAGTCAGGCTACCTCTGGCGAGCACATGGAGGGCTGTGCGGCCCCCCAAAGAAATGCCACCCCACACGATGACTGACCCACCACCAAACCGGTCATGCTGGAGGATGTTGCAGGCAGCAGAACGTTCTCCATGGCGTCTCCAGACTCTGTCACGTCTGTCACGTGCTCAGTGTGAACCTGCTTTCATCTGTGAAGAGCACAGGGCGCCAGTGGCGAATTTGCCAATCTTGGTGTTCTCTGGCAAATGCCAAACGTCCTGCACGGTGTTGGGCTGTAAGCACAACCCCCACCTGTGGACGTCGGGCCCTCATACCACCCTCATGGAGTCTGTTTCTGACCGTTTGAGCAGACACATGCACATTTGTGGCCTGCTGGAGGTCATTTTGCAGGGCTCTGGCAGTGCTCCTCCTGCTCCTCCTTGCACAAAGGCGGAGGTAGCAGTCCTGCTGCTGGGTTGTTGCCCTCCTACGGCCTCCTCCACGTCTCCTGATGTACTGGCCTGTCTCCTGGTAGCGCCTCCATGCTCTGGACACTACGCTGACAGACACAGCAAACCTTCTTGCCACAGCTCGCATTGATGTGCCATCCTGGATGAGCTGCACTACCTGAGCCACTTGTGTGGGTTGTAGACTCCGTCTCATGCTACCACTAGAGTGAAAGCACCGCCAGCATTCAAAAGTGACCAAAACATCAGCCAGGAAGCATAGGAACTGAGAAGTGGTCTGTGGTCACCACCTGCAAAACCAGTCCTTTATTGGGGGTGTCTTGCTAATTGCCTATAATTTCCACCTGTTGTCTATTCCATTTGCACAACAGCATGTGAAATTTATTGTCAATCAGTGTTGCTTCCTAAGTGGACAGTTTGATTTCACAGAAGTGTGATTAACTTGGAGTTACATTGTGTTGTTTAAGTGTTCCCTTTATTTTTTTGAGCAGTGTATATCCTTTTTCCAACTTAGAGGTCAGTGCTTTGCTACTTGTCTTGGCCAGACGATGTACATCCGTCACTGTTATCTTTGGCAGCTCTTGCAAGCACCTTGTGTAAAACAGTGCCATGGTTGGTAAGGGAGGGGGGCGTTGGCTAATTGCTAGCCACCTTACTAGTTAGCGTGTTAATAGCTAACTAAGAGACAAAAAAAAGACACAGAACACAATAAATAGAAATCTGATTATATTAATATACTGATTACCTCAGTATATTAATGATAAAACGAGCGACTTCAAGTGTAGAATGGCTACAATCAGGCTGACAGGACGCTATCGGGAGAAGAAGCTATGTATCGGGTAGGAAGTTGAGGGGAAGTGGGCGTTGCTACGTTGTGCAAAAGGTCTATTGCTGCACTCTAAACGAACTGACAAAGTTGTTTTTGGTTAACCATTTCCCGTTTCATATGCATATTCCTTTGCTGAGGTTGGGTCCTGACTCATGATGATGATGTGGACTAGTGCAGCTGTAGCGATAGAAACTATCTATCTCACCAAGAGAAGCTGAGTGTTGCCTTTTGAGCTCTCTTTTCAATCTTCAACTTCAGATTGAATTTGAAGTATTGAGTGGGTTACCACTGGGAAATGTAAAGGAGACTTCCTCTTCATCTGCTATAGTGTACATAATATGACTCACAAGGCCTCTAAACTTAGTCCCTGGAGTGAATCAACTGTAAATGAGGTCTTGTTTGTTTTGCCACTCAAAACAACTGCAAACATTCAAAGTTGGTAGATGCATTTGTTTCTGATGCATATGATGGTCCCAGGTAGGGTTTTCAAGGAGGGTTTATCACTGATGGGTCCCAGGTAGGGTTGCAAAGGAGGGTTTATTGCTGATGGTAGTGGGCGTGGCCAATGGCGCAGTTTTAGATATTTAAAAGCAAATTTACTGCAATTCTACACATTTTGCCATGGGGCAGAGAGAAGAATTTACAGTTTTAAAGCTAGTTTCCTGCAATTCTCCTGGGGTATATATATTATCTTTTGCAGTGGACGGCCATGATTTAGCAGCGATGGTGTGCCGCTGCTAAATGCATATAGGCAAAACACTGCATTTTAAAATAAGTTATTCAAGTATAAATTACCAAAGTTACCATAGATTGCCATAATTACCTGTTAATTGCCACAATTACTGAACATTCTGGTAACTTTGATAAATTACTTGTAGTTTTGCAACTCTAGTCTCACGACTCCCTGAAAACAGTGAAAATTGTCGCTGAGAGGACTATAATAATAAAATAAGTTTGAGTACTTTTCTGTCCCCCCTCCAGAGGGTCTGAATGGCTCGTGGAAGGACAGTGGTGGAGGCTTCACCCCCTCCAGTTACAGCAGTAGTGGCTATTGGAGCTGGAGCGGGCCTAGTGACCAGTCCAACCCGTCCACCCCCTCCCCACCGCTCTCCGCAGACAGCTTCAAGCTCTTCCGTATGCCCAGCATCAACGGCCCGCCCCCCGACGACACCGTCGACGAACAAGACGGCAGCAGCCTGCTCTTCGACGAACCAATCCCACGCAAGCGCAAGGTGGGTAGACAGTTCAATTAAATCTAGCTAAAAATACAATTCCAGCCACTCAAGTGGATAAACTGGATAACCCAAAGAATAACCAAAGAATAACCATAGTATAACCATAGAATAGCTATAGGATAGCCATAGGGTAACTGTAGGATAACCATAGTATAACCATAGAATAGCTGTAGGATAACCATAGGCTAACCATAAAACATTTTACAACATCTTGTTGTGATTCTTTGAGGACCTCACAGAACAAAACTATATCAGATCAATGTTGTAATCAGTTCTGACTGACTGTAATAATATACTGATTCTATAGTCCTGTGTCACTGTATGTACAAGTGGGTAACCTGTACAGGTGTGTGGTGTGAAATGGAAATGTGTTTTTTGCACATCCCACTCCCCCTGAGACACCTTTTAGAATGTGGTCACAGCCAGGGGATCAGCCATTATTGACGGAGACCCTGGAGCAATTAGGGTTAATTGCCTTGCTCAAGGGCAGAACGACAGATTTCAATCCAGCAACCTTTCGGTTACTCGCCCAACGCTCCTAACCGCCAGGCTACCTGCTGCCCTGTACACTGACTGAGGTTGTTCATTTTGAAATGGTAGTAGGTTGATTTAAGAAGTAGTTGTACTGCAGTATCAATGATCTTGGCAAGACAAATAGGATGTCTCAAAAGAAGGCAGGTCCTGCACTTGTTTTGGACATGTTGCTAGCTAGCCACTGTAGTACCTTCTCCTTCCTGAACTCAAAGGGACATTGGGAGGTGACGTGCTGACTGAGGTAGAATTAGGGACTGATCCTCACACACGTGGCGATGCCGTCTCAGAATTATTGGATGGTGAAGCAAGGGCTTGCTCTTGTGTGTTGTGTAGCTGTCAATTCCAAGCACACACACACACACACACACACACACACACACACACACACACACACACACACACACACACCAGATGCAGTTCCAGTCATTTACTCTACAGCCACACATAAGCATAATTATAATTAATTTAAATTAATTATTTTAATATCTTCACTGGAAAACAGGAAGATTGTGCAGCAGGTCTTTTCTCCCATCAGATCAATAGGATATCTCTGGGGATATCTCTGGGGATATCTCTGAATTGGCTACTGATTCTAAAGAATGAGAGGATGGAGGGAGAGAGAGAAAGGAGGGGGAGGGGGAGGGGGGATATACGGAGAGATGGAGACCGACAGAGGGAGAGGATGGTAGAGGGGGAGAGATACTGAGAGAATGGTAGAGAGATGAAGTCAGGAGGAGTCTTCATCAGAGTATTAGTTGGATTTGAGGACAGCCATGCAATAAACGGTGCAATAAAAGTCTTCCAGATTTGGATATCTTCTGTCTTAGTCTATTGATCTATTTTTAACTCCAAGACTAATCTCACTTTGGCTGTGTTTACACAGGCAGTCCAGTTCTGGATATTTTACCCAATCTGATTGGTCAAAAGAACATTTAGTGAAAAAATATCCGAATTTTGCTGCCTGTGTAAACGCTGCTAAAATACTGTTTTTATAAAATCTTAAGTTCCACTTTTCAAATTACCTAGTGTTGGTAATAAACAACTTCAGTCACCCAACTCCCCATACTGGCTTCTGAAACAAGTCACCGCATCTTTTCATAACACTTCCCCCTTAGCTAATAAACGGTGCCGAGGTTGCATGTGAAATCATCACCCAGGCCAACCAGAATCTAGTGCTGCTCTTCTCTTCCTCCTCTGAGCCAAAGACAATGCTGTTCTTTCCCAACTCTCTCTTTGAATTAACTGTGTGCTGCTGCCATTGGGGACTTCACAGGGCTTTGTTACCCAAGGACCAAAAAAACACATTTTGTTGTCAATAGGGCGGCAGGTAGCCTAGCGGCTAAGAGCGTTGGGCCAGTAACCTGAAGGTTAAATATGCCGACGTGCCCTTGAGCAAGCCGACGTGCCCTTAACCCTAATTGCTCTTGTAAGTCGCTCTGGAATGTAACATTAAAAAAAACTAATTTTAAAGGAATGCCCTGAACAATGGGCAAATAAACGGCCACATGACCCCCATCATAAAGGACTGACGAGGGGCAACGTGACCCCCATCATAAAGGACTGACGAGGGGCAACGTGACCCCCATCATAAAGGACTGACGAGGGGCAACGTGACCCCCATCATAAAGGTTTTCTTGTGTGTTTTTGTTCTACTACACTTTTTAAAAGTACTACTGATATTAATAACTGCATTGTTGGGAAAACGCTTTCAAGAAAGACAAAACTTGAAACTGAACGAACTCTGACGAGGGATCAGAGCATTAAGACACTTCTATCCTCAGAAGGCCCTGACGGCTTTGAACTGGACAGACACACACACACACACACACACATACACACACACACCCTCCCCTATCTGGTCATGTGGTCCTTAGTAGCTCAGTTGATAGAGCATGGCGTTTGGAACGTCAGGGTAGTGGGTTCAATTCCCGGGACCACCCATGCGTAAAATGTATGCAAGCATGACTGACTGCAAGTGGATTTGGATAAAAGCTAAATGGTATTTATTATTATAATCTGAAAGCTGCTGCTCGGAATCAATCGTCCTATGGGGTCCATGTTGTAATTACAGAGGACAGGTTGTGCGAGAAATGGTACAGAGCAGAGTAGTGTGTGTGAGTTCATGCACGTATTGTGTGTGAGAAAAGGGTGAAGTGGCTGGTGTTCAACGTTGCTCTCTCTCTCCCTCTCCCTCTCTCTCTCTCTCTTTCTCTCCCCCTCTCTCTCTCACCCCCCCTGTGTGTAATGTCCAGAACTCCATGAAGGTGATGTTCAAGTGTCTGTGGAAGAACTGTGGGAAGGTTCTGAGCTCGGCTGCTGGGATACAGAGACACGTCAGGACCGTTCACCTGGGGTAACACACACACACACACATGGTTATACACAGAGGCACGCTCACTCAGTCTCTCTCTCTTTCTCACACTCTTTTTGTCTCGTGCTCTCTCTTTTATCCCCTCTCTCTCTCTCTCACACACACATGCACGCAAACACACACACACACACATCAAACTTTTGACCCCCTCCAGTGAGAGATAAGAGAGGCCTCTCCTCTCGATGGCCTTTGTCAAAGCACAACAGCAGATTCAATCCGGTGGGATTATCACCACGGTAACATTTCCTCATTTTGGCTCAGTGTGACAGGCCAGGGAGAAATGAGGATGGAACAGAACAATGTTATCACACAGATCAGCAATCTGGTCCAATCCTAATTTCTCTGTAATGACAAGGCCTAATTTTAACCCATCGCTCTCTCCCAGGCGTAACTGTGACTCTGACTGCAGTGACGGAGAGGAGGATTTCTACTACTCAGAGATTAAACTCAACACAGACTCAGTGGCTGACGGTCTGAGCAGCCTGTCCCCCGTCTCCCCCTCCGTGCTGTCCCCCGTCCCTCCTCCCCATGACCGCCACAGACGACCCCCTGCAGAGGGCAGCAAGGGGTCCAGTGGGAACAAGGAGAACCACAGCCACGCCCACTCCAACACCACACCCCTCAGTCGCTCCGCCCCCAGCGCCCTCTACCTCATCCACACCGACCATGCCTACCAAGTGAGAGACACGCCCACACTGGCCACGCCTACTGATATCTTTAAGTAGCAGTATTACAGTATTTACTAAAGACACTGTACAGATACATTTTCGTTGATTAAGTGCTTGAGTGGTTGGTTGATTGATTGATTTGTTGGTTAATTCATTGATTGAATGATTGACTGACATATTGGTTGATTGGTTAATTTATTTATTTATTTATTTATTTATTTATTTATTAATTGACTCACTGTGTGGTGTGGTGTTTGTGTGCTATACACTGTTCTTTAAAGGTGTGACTGCCTCGTGACTTGTTGCTGTCCCTCCCCTCCCCTTTCCAGGCCACATCTCCAGTCACCATCCCCTCCACTGGGTCAGGCTCTGACTCTGGCCCAGACTCTGCTGCCTCCAACTCCTTCACCCTCAGCAGTAGCGCCAACTTCAGCATCTCCTGGCAGTCACCTCCTGTCACCTTCACTGGCACCGCTGTGAGTATATCGCCCCAACAGCTCCACAGTTGACTCAATCTCTATTGCACTCCACACTGCCCTTTCCCGCCTGGACTAAAGGAACACCTACGTGAGAATGCTGTTCATTGACCACAGCTCAGCGTTCAACACCATAGTGCCCTCAAAGCTCATCTTTAAGCTAAGGACCCTGGGACTAAACACCTCCCTCTACAACTGGATCCTGGACTTCCTGACGGGCCGACCCCCAGGGGGTGAGGGTAGGCAACAACACATCTGCCACGCTGATCCTCAACACGGGGGCCCCTCAGGGGAGCATGCTTAGTCCCCTCCTGTACCCACGAATGCATGGCCAGGCATGACTCCAACACCATTATTAAGTTTGCAGACGACACGACAGTGGTAGGCCTGATCACCGACGACGATGAGACAGCCTATAGGGAGGAGGTCAGAGACCTGGCAGTGTGGACAACAACCTCTCCTTCAACGTCAGCAAGACAAAGAAGCTGATCGCGGACTACAGGAAATGGAGGGCCGAGCACGCCCCCATTCACATCGACAGGGCTGTAGTGGAGCGGGTTGAGAGCTTCAAGTTCCTCGGTGCCCACATCACTAAGGATCTATCATGGTCCAAACACACCAGCACAGTCGTGAAGAGGGCACAACAACGCCCTTTTCCCCTCAGGAGGCTGAAAAGATTTGGCATGGACCCTCAGATCCTTAATAAGTTAAACAGCTGCACCATTGAGAGCATCTTGACTGGCTGCATCAGCACTTGGTATGGCAACTGCTTGGTATCCGACCGTAAGGTATGCGGACAGCCCAGTACATCACTGGGGCCAAGCTCCCTGCTATCCAGGACCTCTATACCAGGCGGTGTCAGAGGAAGGCCCTAAAAAAAGACTCTTGCCACCCAAGTCATAGACTGTTCTCTCTGCTACTGCACGGCAAGCGTTACCGGAGCGCCAAGTCTGGGACCAAAATGCTCCTGAACAGCTTCTACCCCCAAGCCATAAGACTGCTAAATAGTTAGTTAAATACTGTAGGTAACCAAATAGCTACCTGGACTATCTGCATTGACCCTTTTTGCACTAAGTTTTGTCTCATCACATACACTGCTGAACAGTTAATCAAATGGCTACCCCCTCACACATACTACACTGACACTCCAACACAGACACACTCACACTCACACTTTCACACTCATCACATACGCTGCTGCTACTCTGTTTATTGTCTATCCTGATTGCCTAGTCACTTTACCCCTACCTACATGTACATACAGTTGAAGTCGGAAGTTTACATTCACTTAGGTTGGAGTCATTAAAACTTGTTTTTCAACCACTCCACACATTTCTTGTTAACAAACTATAGTTTTGGCAAGTCGGTTAGGACATCTACTTTGTGCATGACACAAGTAATTTTTCCAACAATTGTTTACAGACAGATTATTTCACTTATAATTCACTGTATCACAATTCCAGTGGGTCAGAAGTTTACATACACTAAGTTGACTGTGCCTTTAAACAGCTTGGAAAATTCCAGAAAATGATGTCATGGCTTTAGAAGCTTCTGATAGGCTAATTGACATCATTTGAGTCAATTTGAGGTGTACCTGTGGATGTATTTCAAGGCCTACCTTCAAACTCAGTGCCTCTTTGCTTGACATCATGGGAAAATCAAAAGAAATCAGCCAAGACCTCAGAAAGAAATTTGTAGACCTCCACAAGTCTGGTTCATCCTTAGGAGCAATTTCCAAATGCCTGAAGGTACCAAGTTCATCTGTACAAACAATAGTACGCAAGTATAAACACCATGGGACCATGAAGCCGTCATACCGCTCAGGAAGGAGACGCGTTCTGTCTCCTAGAGATGAACGTGCTTTGGTGCGAAAAGTGCAACTCAATCCCAGAACAACAGCAAAGGACCTTGTGAAGATGCTGGAGGAAACAGGTACAAAAGTTTCTATATCCACAGTAAAACGAGTCCTGTATCGACATAACTTAAAAGGCCGCTCAGAAAGGAAGAAGCCACTGCTCCAAAACCGCCATAAAAAAAGCCAGACTACGGTTTGCAACTGCACATGGGGACAAAGATCGTACTTTTTGGAGAAATGTCCTCTGGTCTGATGAAACAAAAATAGAACTGTTTGGCCATAATGACCATCGTTATGTTTGGAGGAAAAAGGGGGATGCTTGCAAGCATAAGAACACCATCCCAATCGTGAAGCATCGTGGCAGCATCATGCTGTGGGGGTGCTTTGCTGCAGGAGGGACTGATGCACTTCACAAAATAGATGGCATCATGAGGAAGGAAAATTATGTGGAAATATTGAAGCAACATCTCAAGACATCAGTCAGGAAGTTAAAGCTTGGTCGCAAATGGGTCTTCCAAATGGACAATGACCCCAAGCATACTTCCAAAGTTGTGGCAACATGGCTTAAGGACAATAAAGTCAAGGTATTTGAGTGGCCATCACAAAGCCCTGACATCAATCCTATAGAACATTTGTGGGCAGAACTGAAAACACAACACGCACAACAATACAACCTCACATGCATGTGTCTGCCTCTCAAGCATACCAGTTGTTGTCTGTTGTTTTGTGTCTGTATCTAAATTAAAGTTGTCTGTCGATCTCTGTGTTCTGATAGCTCTTGTTGTGTTTCTCTCCAGGCCTCTCCCACTCACGGTCGGACCCAGAGCTTTGGGGAGCAGCGGCCCCAGACCATAGCAGTCCTCTCCTCCCCTCCCAGAGCCACTGGCTCACTCAGGTACTGATGAACTCTACTAGCTGACCTTTCACTGATGACCTCTGAAACTTTGGGCATCCTGAAGTCACAGGAAAAACCATATTGTATCCAAATTTAGAGAGAGCAACCATGTCTTGTTTAGGAATTAAGCAAATTACTAGATTACCATTGTTTATGTTTTCTTCACTTGCATAAACTAAATCAACCATTTTAGATGTTGTTTTGTCTATCATTATAAACCAAGTCAATGATAACAACCATATTTCACCATATCCTCATCTCTCCCCTCTCCAGTCGTAAGTCCCGTGGCGAGGGTAAGAAGTGTCGTAAAGTGTATGGGATGGAGAACAGGGACATGTGGTGCACCGCCTGCCGATGGAAGAAAGCCTGCCAGAGATTTACCGACTGAACCAACCAAGTAACCAACCAAAACCGACCAACCGCTAAGGGTTGCTGCCTGCCCGTCGCCATGGAAATCAGGGGTGTTCCTTTCTGTTCCCTTCCTATGCATGCGTCACTCCAAAACCAATCCTCGGTCTACTCCATCCCTAACCCGGCCCATCCCTAACCCGACCAACCCCAGCAGGACCAAGGGGGTGGAGCCTACTACTGTCCTGAGTATATCCCACGTTAACTCCAGCTCCCTCCCAAGACTTCCAACCAACACGCAGCTCTACAGAGAACAACAACACCAAAATAACCTTCTGCTTTTTATATGTTAAGTTTGTTGTCTCTCTTCTTTCTATGTTTTGTAAAGCAGCTCTGGTTTTTAAAAGGAACGTTGGTCAGGTCAGGCATGAAGGGACCACAAAAGAGGCTCCCTTTGTTCATAAGCTTATTTTCAAACGGAGAAGACTGACCTTTTTTTAAAATACATTGGGAGAATGCTGTAATAAAAAATAGAGGAGGGGAAAGATCTTTGTTTTCTACACCCCTTCTTTCCTCACTCACTTTCTCTCTGTTCTATCCTGGTTCTTCTACTGTACAGTCTGGATCTCTCTACTCCCTCTCTGCCCCGTCCTCACCCCAGGGAATGTATCTTGTGTCTGGACTCGGCAGGGGGGAGAGGGAGGGGTGGATAGCACCCCCTGGTGGGGGAAAATTGATAAATTCCAAAACAAAAACAAATACCCAGTCAGGGTGCTGAACAGACTAACATTGCCAGCAGCAACGAGCCCCACACCACAGCGCTGCATCACAACAAGCAATTCAACAAACAGCAACACAGGACAACACCGTTTTCTATCTCAAATATAATGTATATACATCCCTCCATCTATCCCTCCATCCTATCCATCTATCCATCTATCTATCTATCTATCTCCAGTTTACTGAAGCTAATAAGGGTAATTTTCTTTCAGGGGGTGTCGATCAACAGAAAGCAAAACCAGCAGCTCACATTTAAATATAGTTATTTACAGAGAGGTGTTTGGTCACATGATATCTACCTGCAACAAAAGTTTGTTTTGTTAGGTTTTTTGTACGTGCCATTTTCTTTAATGTTGTTGTTTCTCTGTATCTATTCTTCTTGGTGTTTTGCAACCACAACAAAGACTGTTTTTGCTCACTAACAACTCCAAATGTGTTTGGAAACGTTACACCCCTCCGACACACTTTGGGCTGAAACAACCAAGCAGCCGACAGCTAGTCCAGCCATAAAACAGTGCCACATACAAGCGACCCTCCTCCTCTACACCCCGTCTTCCATCAGGGGAATATGAACTAACGTTTTGTCTACGGACGCTATACCAAAGCCACTAGGTGACCTACAAGATGGAGGGTCTGCTCAATACCAAAATTGAGTGAGGTGTCTCAGGGGGTGATCTTGTGTTGTGGTGGGGTGAACATATCACGCTCTCTCTCTCTATCTCACCCTACTCTGTCCTGTGTTGACCTTCCAGGTCTTTGGGAGAAGTAATGGTAAAGTAGTGATAGTAACACCATGCTGTGGCCGGTCCAGCCCATTCCTACCCACTAGGCACTGTGCCATTACTCCTAGAGTTTATAGGGGAGGTTTCTTTCACTCCAACATTACTCCTTTAGCACTGCACTCACACTCTCTCTCTCCATCTGGGTAGGCACAGCACTCACTCACTCACACTCTCTCTCTCCATCTGGGTAGGCACAGCACTCACTGCACTCACACTCTCTCTCTCCATCTGGGTAGGCACAGCACTCACTCACTCACACTCTCTCTCTCCATCTGGGTAGGCACAGCACTAACTCACTCACACTCTCTCTCCATCTGGGTAGGCACAGCACTAACTCACTCACACTCTCTCTCTCCATCTGGGTAGGCACAGCACTCACTGCACTCACACTCTCTCTCCATCTGGGTAGGCACAGCACTCACACTCTCTCTCTCCATCTGGGTAGGCACAGCACTCACTCACTCACACTCTCTCTCCATCTGGGTAGGCACAGCACTCACTCACTCACACTCTCTCTCTCCATCTGGGTAGGCACAGCACTCACTCACTCACACTCTCTCTCTCCATCTGGGTAGGCACAGCACTCACTCACACTCTCTCTCTCCATCTGGGTAGGCACAGCACTCACTCACTCACACTCTCTCTCTCCATCTGGGTAGGCACAGCACTCATTCACTCACACTCTCTCTCCATCTGGGTAGGCACAGCACTCACTCACTCGCGCGCTCTCTCTCTCTCTCTCTCTACATCGCTCTCCTCTCTCTCTCTACATCTCTCTTTCAACAGCTTTCTCTCTCTCCCCAACTGGCAGGCACAGCACTCTCTCTCTCTCGACTAAAGTAGTCAGAAGCTTTGTGATAGGCTTAACTGTGTGATTGGCAGAGGCCAACCCACTGGTGCAGCTAGCTGATTGGTTTTGTGGACCTGTCTAACTCCACCCACTCCACTTCCTCCTGATGAGACCGGCCACCTGGTTGGCTGGGACGCATGATGCTAAGTCACATGGTTTAGTCACTTTGAAGTGACGTTACTGTACATGGTGGATGAATCACCCTGTAGTCACCTAGCTAGCCATCTCTCTGGCCATTAGGTTGGGCACTCTTGGCTGATCTAAGGCTGCGCACCGCATCCAGATTCTCCACCCTTCTGCCAAAGTGAGTCCTTGCACATTTCCGATCAGAAATTGATGAATGGTGCAAACTCTCTCCAGCCAATGTTTACACCAATCATAAATCCATGATGGGGAGAAGTGTGGAGAATCGGGACGTAGCCTAATACTCTTATATGAAGGTCAATATAACACAGGTCAAAGGTCAAAGACGTACACACACACACACAGTCCAGCACCAGCTATATAAACATCTTCCTCCTCACCTCGATTATACTGTATCGGACTACCCTTAATTTTACTCAACACTTTTCTATTTTTGTCTTTTATCAGTATGCTTATGTAGATGTAAAATGTTCTCCACTTTAAAGCTAAAAATCTATCCGACACCCAATGAACAAGAGAGGTTCAGTAGGAAGCGGAGAAGGGTGACGATAGTTTTAAGTGTTATCATTCATTCAGCTGTAAGCTAAACCGATGTTGTAAAAATGCTATGGCCTAGCTCGCTCTTTCAAAGTCATTGTGTTTATATTATGTCATTTCTTCATTGAAGTTTCTTTAAGAGTAAAACAGTATTTCCATTATCAAAAAATTCACTGGCATTGTATTATGTGGACGTGTTGTTGTTTAGAGATAGATCTATATATTCTTAAAGAAGAGTACATGTTTAAATCTAAAGCGAAAGAGATGGATCTGGCTGTTGTTTTTCTACTATTTTGCATTTATAAATGACTATTATATTTTGTTTTTATGTTCTGCTGAAAGAAGACAGTGGATGTTGTAACAGTAACTGAGGATAATTCTTTCATTCTGGAACCAAGGAAAGCTTGTTTTGTTACATAGTATCAGCAGGTGAACCCCCACAGTCTGATGCCTAAATGCTCTCATACACACACACGGTAACCCTCTATAATATCTAGTAGCTCCAACCTGACAGCTCTCTGTGTGTGTGTGTGTGTGTGTGTGTGTGTGTGTGTGTGTGTGTGTGTGTGTGTGTGTGTGTGTGTGTGTGTGTGTGTGTGTGTGTGTGTGTGTGTGTGTGTGAGCTCTTAGGCTAGTGTCTGGCCCAGTGATGTGTATAAACTCTGGATGACTGACAGGGGGCGCTGTATTGAAGCCACCACAAAGCAATCTTGGTATTCCTCCTCCATTGTAATTTTTTTTTTTTATATATATATATATATAAAAATATATAGAAATGCATTTATTAACGTCTACATTCATTTTTGACACGTTTATTCTATTACAGACACCTTAATGCAAACTTTTAAATTATGTTATGTGAGCTAAACATTACAAATTAAAATGTAAAAAGGTATAAAAACATTTTCCTTAAAGTATCATTTTTAGAGTAGTAATGTTACTGTCCCCACTACAACAACAAAAATACTTAAATCCATGTAATTTTGTCCTTGAAACATTGAATTGAAATACTGTAGAATTCCATTCATTCCTATGGACTGCTCTTACTGGGGAGTTCCAATATGGCCGACCGGTAGCTTCAAAGCCCCCCCCCCCCCCCCCCCCCACACTTGGTTGTTCCAACCTCGCCTCCTTCTGTTAAAAACAATAACAAATAGTATTCGTTATGACAGGACTGGCAACATTTAAGCCCATAGGAGTCAACCCTCCCGGAACTCCGTTGTTTTAACGTTGACTAATGGTTTGTTTATTGTCAACGTTCTCTCTCTGGTATCTGATGGCGATGCCCTGTTTACCTCACTGTGGTGCTTAAAAAAAAAAAAAAAAATTAATAAGCGGTATCCTCGTTCATAGAAATATAATTCTAGAAAAAGCATTCTAGATAATTTTTTCTATGTCCCCGTTGTTGTGTGGAGATTGTCAGCCTTAGTGGTGCTGTGTACTCCGGTAGCAGGGAACATAGGGGCGAGGTTCTACTATTGTCCAATGCTGTTTCACTATAATGCCCTTAATATCTTTTATATTTCTATGGCCTCTTACACTGGACAAGTTCTTGTCTCTCAACAGAGAACTTGGTGTGTCGTCACCAAAGCTGTCATTTTCCTCGCCCTCTGGTTTATACCATACTGTCTGTATGTGTTGTAGCTAGGTTATTTCAGTGGATTTCAACCGACCACATTCCCAATTCTACCAAATATAGTGCTGAACATAAAGTGGAAATATAGGCTAAAATGTTGTTTACATGGAATAGTTAATATCTTTATACCTATCATATAGCTAGCTACAGTATTATTCAGCGAAGGCAGGTTTTGATCCAGTTCTTCTTGTATAAAGTGTACATTCACCCTATAAGCCTACGTTACCTTGTCTTCCTGAAATGTAAATACCTTTCAGCTAGTTGTGAGTATCTGTGTTTAACCGTCATGCTACTAAATAAACTAGGTT